ATGTTAATTATATAACATTAAAATCTTAAAAAATCATAAAAAATAATATTTTAAAATTTATGAATATTTAAAAACTACATTTTTAGTTTTTTAATAATTTAAAATTACATTATTTTTTCATATAGGATTCTTTTCCATGATTGACAATATATTATGAAATAAAAGTAGCTTAGGTTAACTTTATAATTTGACTCAAGTTGAGCAGCTCAACTGTATATTATAAAGCTATAATTTTTATATTGTTAACGAGGAATGACACATTCTGAATTAAATTTTCTGTAGTTAAGTCATAAATCTTCATGATGAGGCCACTGACCATTATAAATGTTCTAATTGAATATTTGCCTCTCTTAAGTTAAAAAAAAACTATTGTTGTATTAGGTTCAATGTTCATTTTTAGTTATCAATATATGTAATTTACGGTTGCCACGTCAATGACACTAATAGTCTCTTAAGCTTATTTTTAATTGGACCATTTCCTCTTATACAGGAGGTTCAATACTTTGAAATACTACAAATGACTGCCATAGTTAAATAACTTTGAATTTTTTTTAGCTTCGATGCGAAGCTGAGAAGGTATTAATTTTACTATGATGTGTTTTTTTTTTTATTTTTTTTTATTTTTTTTTTGTGTCTGTGAACACTCAATCTCAGCTCTCGCTGGACCGATTTTGATGAACAATATGTCAAAAGATCACAAATCGTATCTAGTCGAAGACATTACCCTCAAAAATTGAAAAAAATTCCCTCGTTCCCCGTAAACGGGGGAAATCCCCCAAAAAATTACAAATTTAAAAATCGCTAATTTTCGATATTTTTTCAATTTTTTTTACTTAAAATTGCCATAACTTTTTTAAAAATGACCGAATCAATATAATTTTTTTTTTTATAGATACCTTAGATAATTACCTATCATTTTATATATTTTTGTGAACATTTGACCCTTTAACAGCCCAAAGGATGGGGTTTCAAAATGGTAACTTTTTTACAAAAAATTAACTTTTTCAACTTAACTTTTGAAAATGTTCCGGAAAGACTGACAATTTTATATATACCTTAAATTAAAGCTAATGTAATATACTTTAATTTGAAAAAAAAAAATTTGACCTCTGGACTTGTCTTCATGGTGAAAATGACTACCGTATGCAAAAATATGCTATTTTTGTGAAAAAATTCTTGATATTATATTTTACATTTTTTAACATTATGTTGCTATAACTTTTTAAAAAATGCATGAATCAACTTTATTCTTTAATGATAAATACTTTATATATACTTCTTTCATTCGACATACTTTTTTTTAAAATCGGACCATTTCCCTTTATACAGGGGGGGTGCAAACCTTTTAAAATGCGTATAGAAAGTAGAACTTTTTCAACTTAACTTTTGAAAATGTTCCGGAAAGACTGACACTTTTATATATATCTTAAATTAAAGCTTATGTAATATACTTTAATTTGAAAAAAAAAAATTTGACCTCTGGACTTGTCTTCGTGGTGAAAACGGACATCAAAGTTAAAGAAAAACGTACGATTTCCGTGAAAAAAATCTCGATTTTATATGTTATATTATTTAATTTATATTTTATATAACTTTTGGAAAAATGTATGGATCTATATTATTATTTTTTTATAATAAATATTGATATACCCCTTTCATCTGGCACGCTTTTTTTGTAAATCGGATCATACCCCTTTAACAAGGGGGGTCAAAACTTTAAACATGCGTATTGTTACTACGATATTTTCAATTTAATTTTTGAAAGTATTCCGGAAATACTGACACTTTTAAATATATCTTAAATTAAAGCTTATGTAATATACTTTAATGTGAAAAAAAAAAATTTGACCTCTGGATTTGTCTTCATGGTAAAAATGACTACCGTATGCAAAAATATGCTATTTTTGTGTTAAAATTCTGGGTTTTGTATTTTATTTTATTTTAAAATACCTGACAAGGGGAGTACAGATTTTCATAAATATTATATAAATTAAAATTGATATAGTATAGATAGTTAAACTTATTTAAATATGTTTGTTTCTTTTAAGTCGAGAAAAATAACTTTGAAATTTGAACTAGCTTAAATAGCCAATTTTTCAACCGCCGGAAGCAACGTACGGTTGCCGAGTTGGTAAAATTTATGTTTTACACGCTTGGGGTACGAGGTTCCAACCCGCATATGGCAATGAATTTTTTGCATTTTTTCTTAATTCTTTTTAAGTTAGTATAAATTTTAACTCGTTTGATTTTTATCACATTTAGATTCAATAACTTCAATAAAGATCAAGGATCCCATCACTTTAGTCGCCCCTTGCAAGAAGAAATTTCTTATTCGTATTAAAATTATTTTACTATATTTTAAGTTTTCGCTTCGATGCAAAGCCGAGAAGATATTTTTTTGTGACTATCATTTATTTTCTCTGCTCTAACTTGACCTACTTTTTTCAACAATACGTCAAATTACTACAATTCGTATCTAGTTGAAGATATTACTCTCAAAAATTGAAAAAAAAATTCTAATTTATCAATTAAACAGTTAGTTATTACATCGTCTCCATAAAGACAATTAAAATCATTAATTTCTAATGTTTTAAAAATATTTATTAACGAATGAAGTTATATATGATAGGTTTCAATTACAAAATTAAATCATTTTACTTTGTAATTTAATAATTTTATTACTCTGTTTGTGTGTGCTACT